TTTGCTGGAGGATCTGGGCAGCATTTCTGTGAACCGTGGGGCCTGTTGACAGCGCCAGCCCGCACATCTTCCTGGGGAACCCTGCTGCCTTGGAGACCCTCCGGACCCCACACAGCTCTCCCAAGACAGCCCTCCTGAGACCCTCCCCTGGGGATATCAGGCTGGCCCCTCGGAGCAGCACAGAGTATGTAGCTTCATATTATTCTGCATTGCAGTATAATGTATTACTGGGATTTGTAAGTCACTCTACACTACAGCTTGTAGTCAAAGGCAGAAGTACTAGGGTCACAGCAGTTGCAAGTGCGACTGGGCCCTGGTGCTCCACCACTGTCCTAAAATCATTAGTCTGTATTGTTTTAGAAAAACTGTCATGACACAAAAAAAAAAAAAAAAAAAAAAAAAGTATCGTTAATTGGTATCGGTGAGTACTTGAGAGAAAAAGTATTGGTGTATCTCTAGTTACTAATGCTTAAAATATATACTGCAAAAAGCATATTTGTTGGTATAAAGAATTGTGGATTATCTAGTATTTACTGTTGGGTAGTGAAAACTAAATAGAAATATAAAAAATCCTTATGACTTTTGTAGTGAGGCGATGAGGGATGACTTCTTGAACAATCTCTCTGTATATTGCATGAAGTAAAAAGATGAATTCCTTTTTGGTCTCCTTCATATGTTGTTGACTAGATTTCCCAAGCTGTGTACAGTTTGTATTGAAATGCCATTACATTGCTTTAGGGTAGTTTTTGAGCATTTGTGATTTCTGCATTTAATCTTCTACATGGTTAACTCCAACAGCATCCACAAGATCATTAAAGGTGCTTAAACACAGCTCAAGTACTGACTGGAATAACAGCCTGGGCAAAGGGAATGGGCAGGATTCAGATGATGGCAGCCTAAGCAGCGGCACACATAGCAGTGGTTGTCCCACCATTGAAAGTTTTCAAGATCTAAAAGGTCGCTCTCCAGTCAAACCTCTGCAGACGAGCCCGTCAGACCTCCCACACAACACAGTCAAGGAATCTGATATTCTCAGTGATGATGATGAAGATTATAGGCTTGCCAATTTGACCACTGACTCAACAAATAAGAAGAGTAGTCCAACACAATGCATCGAAGTACAGTTGCAGAATTTAAATATCTCAGAACTATCTAACACTGAATCGAAGACTTTGGAGTCCAACACTACTGACAGGGAAGGTAACTTTCAGTTAAAGGAACATCCAAAGCTTGTAAGGGGACATTTTTGTCCAATTAAACGAAGGGTGATCAGCACAAAAGCAGACAAGGCGATTACAAAGGCAATTAAAGACCATCACCAGTCTCTTGACAACCAGTCTGATGCAAGCATCGATCTGAATGCAATTCTGGAGAGGGAATTTAGTATTCAAAGCTTAACTTCTGTTGTAAATGAAGACTGCTTTTATGAAACTGCTGGAAAATGTGGCAAATCCTAGCTGTTGCAGAAAGGCTAAAACAATTTTGTTGAGTAAAATACAAACTGGGAAAGCGATACAAATCTCTACATAATGGTGACGTTAAAGTTGTACAGTCTATATTTGTTTCAGTTAAACTTTCTTTGTTCTGTCCATACTAGGCATGGACTAGTTGCTGTAAATGACTGTATCTGTTTAGTTTTGTGCACTACTTAATTTTGCCACACATTAAGTTATTTTTTTATTTTATTTATTGTGTATGTGAAAAATATAAATAAAGGCTGACCAAATTCAGAATTTTTGAACAGGTATGAAAATGTTGTCATTGGCTTAATAATAACTTATAGAAAAGTATATCATTTATGCATGAATTTGAGCAGCTGATAGCTATTTTATTTTTTTGTGATTTAATGCAGTGTAAAACTAAAAAAAAGAAAAAAAAATCTGAAACACTCTGTTTTTGAGTCGTCGAGAAGTCTGACCTGACCGTTCATTTGAGCTGTTCAAATGGCAACTGTGTATACGCAAAAACAATCTGACATGAGTTCTCCAGGGCTCTTGAAGAAAGAAAGCACCGGGGCATTCATTAAAAGCATTTTTCTTTTGTAAAGCTAATGTTAAGTTATTTCAAGTGTTTTGTGTATCTAAGTGCAGACCTTTCATTTTTTTACTCCCAAACATACTGTTTATACCGGACTTTATAAATATATGTGTATAAAAAAAACTTGTACTGTAATATTTTTGGCTGTATTTTATTTCCTTTATCTTGTACATTGCCTAAAATTTGTGTTATTTTTTTTTCTAATAAACAGAACTGTAAAACTATTTATTTTTAAGGGATTTTCTTTCATTTTTACCAGGGAAGCTCTTTTATTGCCACAGATTGTAAGCTTTCACCGTTTTCAAATGCTGCTATGAAATTTGGCAATAAACATAGGTCTAAAGTATTTTCAGTACTAAAATATTTGCTATACAATGCCCTTGAAATCACTGTCCATTACTTTAAACCTACTTTAGAAATATTAACTTAAAACAATTGGAAAACACCAGATACCAATGTAGACATACACGCGTATACAGGTGAAACTCGAATAATTAGAATATCGTGCAAAAGTTCATTTATTTCACTAATGCAACTTAAAAGGTGAAACTAATATATGAGATAGACTCATTACATGCAAAGCAAGATAGTTCAAGCCGTGATTTGTCATAATTGTGATGATTATGGCTTACAGCTCATGAAAACCCCAAATCCACAATCTCAGAAAATTAGAATATTGTGAAAAGGTGCAATATTCTAGGCTCAAAGTGTCCCACTCTAATCAGCTAATTAAGCCATAACACCTGCAAAGGGTTCCTGAGCCTTTAAATGGTCTCTCAGTCTGGTTCAGTAGGAATCACAATCATGGGAAAGACTGCTGACCTGACAGTTGTGCAGAAAACCATCATTGACACCCTCCATAAGGAGGGAAAGCCTCAAAAGGTAATTGCAAAAGAAGTTGGATGTTCCCAAAGTGCTGTATCAAAGCACATTAATAGAAAGTTATGTGGAAGGGAAAAGTGTGGAAGAAAAAGGTGCACAAGCAGCAGGGATGACCGCAGCCTGGAGAGGATTGTCAGGAAAAGGCCATTCAAAAGTGTTGGGGACTTTCACAAGGAGTGGACTGAGGCTGGAGTCAGTGCATCAAGAGCCACCACACACAGACGGATCCTGGACATGGGCTTCAAATGTCGTATTCCTCTTGTCAAAACACTCCTGAACAACAAACAACGTCAGAAGCGTCTTACCTGGGCTAAAGAAAAACAGACCTGGTCTGTTGCTCAGTGGTCCAAAGTCCTCTTTTCTGATGAGAGCAAATTTTGCATCTCATTTGGAAACCAAGGACCCAGAGTATGGAGGAAGAATGTAGAGGCACACAATGGAAGATGCTTGAAGTCCAGTGTGAAGTTTCCACAGATTAAGCCATAATCATCACAATTATTACATGCAAAGCAAGATAGTTCAAGCCGTGATTTGTCATGAGTCTCTCATATATATTAGTTTCACCTTAAAGTTGCAGTAGTGAAATAAATGAACTTTTGCACGATATTCTAATTATTCGAGTTTCACCTGTATGGGTTTGTGTAGGCACAGAAACAATAGAATAGTGTACACAGATTTTCAAAGCCTGCTGGCCTTTTCCTAGAGAGGTTGTTCCCTTTTAAAGTGAGCTCACCTAGCCCCACTGATGACCTTGTTGTTCTTGGGCCTACTTCTTTTTTTTTTTTTGCTGCATCTCCCACCTCGCAGTTGGGCTGTTTTTTGATGCCCTAGTTGTCTAAGATTAACAGATTTTTTTTGACTTGCCATAATGTATTTCTTGGAGTTCATTAACTATCTCTGGTCCCACCCCTTTTGTCTTATCTACTCCTACTATTGCTTTTCCACAAAACATGATGGGATTGGGAGGGGTTATACTTAGCTGAATTATAGCTTTGTTTGCCAATGTTCCTTTTTGTAAATCAACCCCAGTGTATAGTTACATTGGATATAACAATGCCTACCGCTTTATAAAATATCAAAACCTGAAACAGAAAGACAATAATATGCCGAACTCAGTTATGTCTCCAACTGATGCAATCTCTATCTCAGCATTATACATGGATGTAACATTTGGTTATGAAGAACCTGAGAGTCTTCTGAAGGAGCAGAGTTCAGACTTTCTATGAAACGTGTTGAGTTTATCCCCCAACTCTGGGAGCACCAGGATCCAATTTATGATGAGATATGAACTGTATGTAACAACCAACAAATGAGTTATACTATAAAGAATGGATAAGGCTGATTTGAGTTCCTGAAAGGGGGAGCATCTCTCCAGAATGTTTATTTATATGCTACCTTTTGTGTTATTTACACTTTAGTAGAATATTTTTTATGTGTACGCTTTTCCTAATAAAAATATTTGGCTGAGGTTGTGGTACTATTAAAGTCTGGCTTATTATTGGTTTTCTGTTTGAGGGTTTTGATACTCGTCAATTCAGAGGTGGTACCTACCCATTATTAAAAAGGACTTTTTTAATATGATTTCTTTATAAAGTAATTTGTGCATAATATATATATATATATATATAGATAGATAGATAGATAGATAGAGAGAGAGAGTTTAAGGGCAGCCACAATAGTATGAGGTGCCAAATGTACAGAAATTCTAAAACCAAACAGGACTGTGGAGCTAAATGGAAAATGTATAGAAACTACATAGGCAGAAAATGTCAGCACGGGACTAAACACAAAGTAAGGCACTTGACGCGTAAAATATATAGAAAACTTTATCTGAATACATGGTAGCCAAACTGTATGGAAAAAAAAAGTGACACTTGCACAGTCAATGTGTTTATGAAAGGTCAGCATGTACAGCACTGAGAGGAAGCAGACCTCCCTGCATTGTAGACATCACATATTAAATCCGTGACCTTTATTTTGGGTATCGGTGTAGATTATTTTACATATGCAGTGAAAACTCGCTATAAATATGCCATAAAAATGAGCATCTGTTCTGAGCAAAGTCCTGCGTTTCATATTGTTTATATTACGATTTCCACTTCTTCAATATTCCCCTGGTTAGTTCCCAGCTTTTTCTGACGAAGCTCTTCCCGAAAGTTATAGGCAAACAGTTGGGGGTCCTGGTCACACAGTTCTCTGTATGCAAAGCATAAATCCCGGAAATGTTTAATCGTCAGTTCGGGTGGTCGCATTGATTCTTCTACATCAGCTAACCTCAGAATTTTGGTGGTGAGTTCTTTACGCTGCTCTTCTGGAAATAATATTCTGCAAAGAGAAAAGTTAAATATGTACAAAGTGTATTGCTTAAGTTGCTTGGAAAGGAAAAAAAAACCCCCAAAGTTTGTGAACCTTCAGGCCTAAGTCACACCTGCGATCCTGTCACCGAAGACGACTTACCAGCAACAGGCTCACTAGGCAGAGGGGGTGGGGGATGTTCACAGAGATTTTCCATCAATGTCATCGACGCTTTTCTAGCTTTTGGTTGACTATTCTATCCATTATAGCATTAAAAAAAACAAAAAGTGCTAAATTGAAAAACAAAAACTTTTTCCCCATATACAAATACATCTGACATGCTTTGTACCAGGAACATCATTTCAGGGTGTTATTTCAAATGGGACAAAATTACAGCATACAATGTATTACTTTAAAAAAATGAATAAATAAAACCTACCACTGGTCAAAATAGAAAAAACATTTTTCTACATGTCGATAAATTACATAGAAAAATAATAATTTAGCAAGATAATTTTATTCCCCATCGGGTAAGAAAAATATAGAATATTTTTTGCAAGAAAGCATAGTTTGTCTTAAAATAAAATAAATGTACAGTATATATTACTTTATCTTAGGGAAACATTTCTCAACTCTTACAGTGGGGCTTACTCCTGCACTGCAAGGTTTACCTGCTCATTTTTGTCTAGGTTAAAAAAGAAAGTTAATCCAAACTTCAGAGCTGGCTTGTTCTTAGGCTGGTCCCTGAAGCCTTGCTCCCACTCTCATATATCATCAATCCAATACACTGTGTATAGGATGTGAGGATGCTGAGGGGCCTAACATTGCTGCAGCGGAGGAGGAGGAGAAGAAAGGCGGAAGAGACCAGACAAAGATCCATCCGTTTCCAAGGATCAGGCAAGTAGAACTTTGTTATTTTTTAACCTAGACACAAATGAGCAGTGAACCCTTGAAGTTTGGTGGGGTAGCCCCAATGCAAGGTCTAATAACATTTTTCCTGGAGTTCTGCTTAAATAATCACAAAGTTATGAGGAAATAAGAGACCTATAGTGGAAGTCTATAAGGGGTATACAAGGGCGAGATCTGCAGTAGTTAAAAATGAATTAAACTCTTGTTTACCACCTTCTACTCTATTACTATGTTGTCCTTGTAATTGCCTATACTACCACACAGACTAGCAGAGTTAGGATTGCAGGGAGTAGGAAAGAAGGAATGAGCCGGATACATTACATATGACTATATAAAATTATACACACAGACAAAAAAACTTACGACAGTCCATGGTGGCAGTACTTCCTTCTGTACTGGAACACACTCTGCACTACTTTTTCTACAAGTTTAAATGGCTGTTCGATTTTTGGCTGTATTAAGGGTGTAAAATGTACAACTGCAACATCAATCTAGGAAAGAAAGAGAATGTCATGTTATTTTTTTTTTCAATAATAAAACTGTACAAGTTTTAAAGTATTATAATATATAGAGGTGCACCAAAATGGAAATTTCAAAACCGAAATAAAACCTTGACAGGCCGAAACCGAAAATGTTTTTATTTGAATTTTTTCACATTTTTTAAATAGTTACAGCACTGAGAGGAAGCAGACCTCCCTGCATTGTAGACATCACATATTAAATCCGTGACCTTTATTTTGGGTATCGGTGTAGATTATTTTACATATGCAGTGAAAACTCGCTATAAATATGCCATAAAAATGAGCATCTGTTCTGAGCAAAGTCCTGCGTTTCATATTGTTTATATTACGATTTCCACTTCTTCAATATTCCCCTGGTTAGTTCCCAGCTTTTTCTGACGAAGCTCTTCCCGAAAGTTATAGGCAAACAGTTGGGGGTCCTGGTCACACAGTTCTCTGTATGCAAAGCATAAATCCCGGAAATGTTTAATCGTCAGTTCGGGTGGTCGCATTGATTCTTCTACATCAGCTAACCTCAGAATTTTGGTGGTGAGTTCTTTACGCTGCTCTTCTGGAAATAATATTCTGCAAAGAGAAAAGTTAAATATGTACAAAGTGTATTGCTTAAGTTGCTTGGAAAGGAAAAAAAACCCCCCAAAGTTTGTGAACCTTCAGGCCTAAGTCACACCTGCGATCCTGTCACCGAAGACGACTTACCAGCAACAGGCTCACTAGGCAGAGGGGGTGGGGGATGTTCACAGAGATTTTCCATCAATGTCATCGACGCTTTTCTAGCTTTTGGTTGACTATTCTATCCATTATAGCATTAAAAAAAACAAAAAGTGCTAAATTGAAAAACAAAAACTTTTTCCCCATATACAAATACATCTGACATGCTTTGTACCAGGAACATCATTTCAGGGTGTTATTTCAAATGGGACAAAATTACAGCATACAATGTATTACTTTAAAAAAATGAATAAATAAAACCTACCACTGGTCAAAATAGAAAAAACATTTTTCTACATGTCGATAAATTACATAGAAAAATAATAATTTAGCAAGATAATTTTATTCCCCATCGGGTAAGAAAAATATAGAATATTTTTTGCAAGAAAGCATAGTTTGTCTTAAAATAAAATAAATGTACAGTATATATTACTTTATCTTAGGGAAACATTTCTCAACTCTTACAGTGGGGCTTACTCCTGCACTGCAAGGTTTACCTGCTCATTTTTGTCTAGGTTAAAAAAGAAAGTTAATCCAAACTTCAGAGCTGGCTTGTTCTTAGGCTGGTCCCTGAAGCCTTGCTCCCACTCTCATATATCATCAATCCAATACACTGTGTATAGGATGTGAGGATGCTGAGGGGCCTAACATTGCTGCAGCGGAGGAGGAGGAGAAGAAAGGCGGAAGAGACCAGACAAAGATCCATCCGTTTCCAAGGATCAGGCAAGTAGAACTTTGTTATTTTTTAACCTAGACACAAATGAGCAGTGAACCCTTGAAGTTTGGTGGGGTAGCCCCAATGCAAGGTCTAATAACATTTTTCCTGGAGTTCTGCTTAAATAATCACAAAGTTATGAGGAAATAAGAGACCTATAGTGGAAGTCTATAAGGGGTATACAAGGGCGAGATCTGCAGTAGTTAAAAATGAATTAAACTCTTGTTTACCACCTTCTACTCTATTACTATGTTGTCCTTGTAATTGCCTATACTACCACACAGACTAGCAGAGTTAGGATTGCAGGGAGTAGGAAAGAAGGAATGAGCCGGATACATTACATATGACTATATAAAATTATACACACAGACAAAAAAACTTACGACAGTCCATGGTGGCAGTACTTCCTTCTGTACTGGAACACACTCTGCACTACTTTTTCTACAAGTTTAAATGGCTGTTCGATTTTTGGCTGTATTAAGGGTGTAAAATGTACAACTGCAACATCAATCTAGGAAAGAAAGAGAATGTCATGTTATTTTTTTTTTCAATAATAAAACTGTACAAGTTTTAAAGTATTATAATATATAGAGGTGCACCAAAATGGAAATTTCAAAACCGAAATAAAACCTTGACAGGCCGAAACCGAAAATGTTTTTATTTGAATTTTTTCACATTTTTTAAATAGTTTTTTTTTTAATAAACTTTAATTTTTTTATATTTATTTTTTAATTACATTTTTTATTAAATATTTGTATTTTTTACTTTTAGGGGCTCCGGGGAAATATTGGGGGTCTAAAACAGACCCCTGATATTTCCCTTTTAAAATAGAAAAAAGAGATTGGAGGACACGATCTCTTTTTCTGTGTCCCCTGTGTCCTGTTCATTGATAACATGAGGACATGGTATGTTTACTATAACTACAACTATGAATGAACAGGAGGTGATGTAGATCACTCCCATTCATTCATAATTGAGGATATAGTAACCATACCATGTCCTCAATTATCTACAAACACTCAGTGATCACTGATCGCTGAGTGTTTGTACTTGCTCTCCTCTCTGACACAGGAGGCTGATCGAGCGGTGTAGGGAGGAGAGCTCAGCAGTCTGTGACAGCGCAGGCTATCTCTGCCCACACACCGCTCTGCCGGACTGTGATAGTAGGCTGAGCGGTGTGGGAGAAGAGATGCCGGCCGCTTGCATCGCTTGGCCGGCTGTCACACTTTCTCTCCTCCCTGCTGGGACACAGAGCAGCGCCCAGCGGGGAGGAAAGAAAGCAGGGATGCGCCTATGTATCGGCAGGAAAATGGCGCTTTCGGCATTTAGCCAAGAGTGCCATTTTCGGCCGATATATCGGTGCATCCCTAATAATATATAATAAAGTAGCATTATAATACAATAATTATTTGCAGTTCCATCAGAATTGGTCTCACATCACGGCTACATATCTTATCTACACAAGAGCCACACAAGGCCAATTTGGAAGAGACAACCAGCAAATTGTTGAATCCCTACTTCTGTCTCTTTAAACCGTCTCATTTAAAAATGAACCTCTTTACCTGACTCAGGAAAATCTAGTAAAGCTACCAGGTGGTATGCTTAATAAAATGTCTCTTCTACTAGCTAGATATACCTCACGTCTCTGTTTTACCCCCTGCCGCCTTCTTGCATTTCATTACCATGACCACTTACACACAAAAAAAATAAAAAATTGGAGAGGATTTTTAAAGGCACCAAAACACACAATTGCCAAATCTTGATATTTTATTTAATCCTAAGTTTAAAAAAAAAAACTATTTCCAACAAGATATCCGTTTTAATTGCTCATGATCCAGGTGCTGTGACCTGTAACATAAATCAGTTACCACCTCCCGGGTCCCCCTATATACCCCCACTACCCCCATTTACCACAAAAAACAACCATGTATTGTCAAGTGCAAACTCTTATGAAGTTGTGGTTCCTTTTTTGTGATATATGGTTTCCTTTCCTCCTTTTTTGAGGGACCCGGGAGGTGGTAGCTGATTTATGTTACAGGTCATAAGCAATTAAAACAGATATCTCTGGAAATTGTAATGTTTTTTTAACTTTGGAATAAATAAAATATCAAGATTTGTCAATTGTGGGCTTTGGTGCCTTAAAAACCCTCCCCAATTTTTTTGCATGTAAGCAGTTATATTTGGGGTGTGGCCCCATTGGGCTGAGGAACTACTAACACATTGAAACAACATGATCTTTACCGCTATATCTGAGGAAATACCAGAGTTGACATTTCAGGTGGTGTTTTTTTTCTAAAACATAAACCTGTAATCATTCGGGTGCTGAAGTTCTACTTGGCCTCAAACTAAATCACTAAATCCAGTAAAAGAATAATGAGCAGTTTCCACAACACCTACTTTTTTTGTGAAAAAAAAAACCGATTAAAGCTTCCAGGATTTTAATAACACAGGGCTCAGTTTCATACATTTGCTAATTATTATTATACAGGATTTACAGGTGAAACTCGAATAATTAGAATATCGTGCAAAAGTAATTGCAGTAAGTGCTGCAAAAGGGGCCCAAACCAAGTACTGAGTACATATGCATGCTTGTACTTTTCAGACGTCCGATATTGTTCTATGTACAATCCTTGTTTTATTGATTGCATGTAATAATATACTTTTTTGAGGTTGTGGATTTGGGGTTCTTGGGGTTTTCATGAGCTGTAAGCCATAATCATCACAATTATGACAAATCACGGCTTGAATTATCTTGCTTTGCATGTAATGAGTCTATCTCATATATCAGTTTCACCTTTTAAGTTGCATTAGTGAAATAAATGAACTTTGCACGATATTCTAATTATTCGAGTTTCACCTGTATATAGCGCCAACAGTTTGCACAGCACTTTACAATATAAGGAAGACATGACAATTACAGTACAATTCAAGACAAGATGGTAAGCAGGGCCCTGCCCCTGAGAGCTTACACTCTAAAGTTAATACATGTGTAAACCACGTACCACAATATTCCTTGATATTTACATCCTCTATAGTATTCCTTGATATTTACATCCTCTATAGTATTCAAGCCTTACTCTGAGCATATGTGTGCAAACTTTTCAGTCTCCAGAGTATGTGCATTAAGGGGGCAGCTCAGTGGTTAGCACTTACAGCAACAGGGTCCTTGATTTAAATCCCAACCAGGACAACAACTGCATAGATTTGGCATATGCTCACTGTGATTGTGTAGGATTTCCTCCCACATTGCAAAGACATGCTGGTGGGTTAAATTGGTGCTGTATGTATGCATGTGAGATGGGGATTGTGAGCTCCTGGGGGGCAGAAACCGATCTAGGGTACAATATGTTTTTAAAAAGCTACTCTAGTGATTCTTACATCTTTGGCATACGTCATAGTAAAGCTGAGCCAGAAAGTAGCAGAGTGATCTACTTGGCTATGCTGCCTACCGTAGTAGGCTGGAGGCACGGGGTGATATAGGAATCTGCTTTTCTGAACCAGGAAGTTGAGTCACCGGAGTAGTGTGGCAGAAGTGTATAAATTGCAAAACTGGCTGTACAGAATTACAAATTCATTTGGCAGGTGAAAGGGTAAACATGTATTCTTCTCGGGTGCATTTAGCCAATCTCCGAGCATTCCACTTTAACCCTGAGGTGATATGTACTTATAAGAAGACTGCACCCCCTGGACCGACAACCACATTCCTCAACCAACTCTCCGGACTGACGACCCTAACCTAGATTCACACAGGATTCAAATAAACTGCATACATGCTTATTAGGGATGCACCGATACTAGTATCGGTGCCGATGCCAAGTATTTGGACGAGTACCCGTCCTCGCCCAAATGCTCTGATGCCCGGCCCGATACTTCCTGTATCAGGAAGCCGGGCAGTGCGTCATTACACGCTGCCCAGCTTCCTGATTGGCCGCGAAGTGACAAGGGAGCATGGAGTCGGCTTCCCGGCCAATGTAATGTGTAATGACGCGTTGCCCGGCTTCCTGATTGATCGGGAAGCTGGCCAATCAGGAAGCCGGGCGCCGTGTAATGACACAGCACCTGGCTTTCTAATTGGCAGGGAAGCCGGCTTCATGTTCCCTCGTCATCTCATGACGAGGGAGCATGGAGCCGGCTTCCCAGCCAATCAGGTAGCCGGGTGCCGCATCATCACAAGGCGCCCGGCTTCCATGAATGGTCAGCAAGCCGGCTCCATGCTTTCTCGTCACATTAGCAAGCACAGCTTCCTTGCTGAATCGGGAAGCCGGGTGGAGATACTTTACACTCTGCTCGGCTAATCAGGGAGCCAGCTGGCGAGTCATTACACGCCGCCTGGCTTCCTGAATGGGACTTCCGGTACTTGGTATCGGCGAGTACCGTAAAAAAAAAAATATCGGTACTCGGTACCGACGCATCCCTAATGCTTATAAAACATTTGTTAAACACATCACCACCAGAACTCTGGGGGAAATTTATCAAAACTGGAGGAGACAGAATCTGGGAGCAGTTGCCAATAGTAGCCAATCAGCTTCTCTCTTCAGTCTGTTCAGTTAAGCTTTGAAGATGAAAGAGAAAAGCTGACTGGTTGCCATGGACAACTGCTCCAGATTCTGTCTTCACCAGTTTTGATAAATTCCCCTCTTTCATTTTAAACACCTATTACATAACTATACCATGGGGAAATGTAACACATACCTGCAATTATACAGTGTGATAGGTCTCCACATGACCCACATATTCCTAGTCATAGACTATTACAACAATTTTTACCAAAGTCAGATTTACTTGGCGAAGTAGTCAAACCAATGAAGATATTGACAACATCTATACCATAGGAGAACTGTTTGCTGCCATTATGTTTGGACACAGCCCTGAAGGTAGACCCCAAGCAGGGTTCCTTAATTTTATAATCCAATATTTCACTGGAGAACATCTATGATAAATTTGGACAAAGCCCTCAAATATTTAGATAGAGAACCCAAACTGGGTTAAGTTTAGGATCTATTTCCCAATGAGAAAGAGCACCTCTTACATTATTGGCTTTTCCTTGTGTGATATACACTGCCCGTCCAAAAAAAAGTCACACTCTAATATTTCGTTGGACCACCATCAGCTTTGAATACGGCACACATTTGGTGCGGCATGGTTTCAATAAGCTTATGCAATGTCACAATATTTACGCAGTGGTCTGACTCTCCCATCATTACCACTAGATCTGGTGAAATGAATGCAACTCCGGACAGAAATAAAGTCTTCTCCAGCACATCCCAAAGGTTCTCAATGGGGTTAAGGTCTGGACTCTGTGGTGGCCAATCCATGTGTGAAAATGATGTCTCATGCTCCCTGAACCACTCTTTCACAATTTGAGCCTGGTGAATCCTGGCATTGTCATCTTGGAATATGCTGTGCCATCAGGGAAGAAAAAAATCAATTGATGGAAACACCTGGTCATTCTGTATATTTAGGTAGGCAGCTGACTTCATTTTTGTGGGCACATAGCTTTGCTTAACCTAG